CGTGGGTTTGATCCCTGGGTCGGGAAGATCCCCTGGAGGAGAGCATGGCAACCCACTCCAGTATTCTTGCCTGGAGAATCCCATGGACAGAGGAGCCTGGCAGGCTGCAGTCCATAAGGCTGCACAGAGTCAGTCACGACTGAAGTGACTTAGCACGCATGACCCTTCCTAGGGATGAGTAAAAATGACGTGCTTAAAATAACCTCTTCAAACATACACAGATCTGAGTCCAGTGTGGCAAGAAGTCTGGGACAGATACAGTCAGCAGCATCCTAGAAGGTAAGGAAAGGAGAGAAGATAGAAAAGATAAAGTGCACGAGGCCAGAAATGTCGCCTTGCCAGCCATGGCACTCCCTTCCGAACTATGAAAGAGGAAATGCAGTTATATGTGTGTAAAGGATCTCTACCCGTCTGTGTAACAGGAATAGCAAGGCTGCATCCTAAACAATCCTGGGATTATGCAGTATTATGGTATCTACCTGCTACTTAGAATACTCAGTATATACCTATATGGGGCTTACCAGGTGGTGCTAGTGGTAAAAACAAACAAACAAAAAAAAACCCTGCCAATGGAGGAGACCTAAGAGATGTGAGTTCGATCCCTGGGTTGGGAAGATCCCCTGGAGAAGGGCATGGCAACCCACTCCAGTGTTCTTGCCTGGAGAATCCCATGGACAGAGGAGCCTGGCAGGCTGCAGTCCATGGGGTCACAAAGAGTCGGACACAACTGAAGTGACTTAGCACACACACACACACGCACCTATATATCAGTAGCTATTATCACATTTCTGTGTCATTTAGGATGCTTTAAGTACACACAAAATCATACTGTACATGGCTACCACCCTAGGTTCCTGCTCGAACACAACTAGAGAATCTCCAAATGCTTCAGGTCCAAGCAAACTATGAGTCTTCTCTTCGGTGCACCTGAATTGGATACAAAACAGACTCTAAGAAGAAACTTTCTGGCTCCAAGTCCACCAAAGAATGCCAGACAGAAATGCAGGCTCAGGGAGAACCGTCTTGATGGTTGGTGAAAAGGCAGGACTACCATTACCTCCTCCAGCTAAGCCCCTGCTTTGATGGCTGACATTTCTGGGTGCATGCGCCCATTTGTTCCTGTAGCTACCAACCGTAACAATCAGCGACAACTGGGTTGTGGTTTGGTTCATAACATATAACACTTTGTATCTGCTCACTTAACAAGTAACCCTTTGTGTATATTCATGTTAAACTTGTATTAAGAAACTTAAAAGCCAGTCATTTAAAAAAAACTAATAGAAATGTTAACATTCTGAAAGAGGGGGGCAAAAAAAGCACATACACTTGAAATCCCCAAAACTCAGATTCAAAACCCTGAACCACCTTTCCTCATAATGGTTCATTTCAGAAACTACTGAGATGCAATGTTGACACTAACATTGGATTTGTTCTACATTCAATAGAAACTATAAATAAATACTTGAGGTAAATTAGGGCAAACAGTTGTGAATATGAGACTTAGCTAAATAAACGTAAATTTACCTTGAAAATCAAAACATTGCATTTTGATGTTTCCTATAGATTTTTTTCTATTTTACACAAGGAAATAATAATTTCTCTACTCTTCAGAAATAGTAACACATCAAAATACAAAATGCTTCACCTCACTATCTTATAGTCACATCTTACCTAGGTTAACCAAAATTACTGTAAGTATTACGTAGTGTAAGAAGTGCACAAGAAATGAGCATCCAAACCCTGACTTGGCCACTATGTATAATCCTAAACAAATCACTTGACCTCTATGAGCCTCAGTGTTTATGGCCTGTGTTTTAGAAGAACAATAAAAAATAGCTGTCTTGCAAAGTTAAGAGGATTAAAATGCATGCTACATATTGTGTGCTTGACAAAACGCTCTGCCAATAGCCAAGACTCAACAACTGCTCATTCGCATCCTCTCTGCTGCTCCTTTCTTTTCCCCACCCTAGTTCTTGACTGTCTTCAAGAATTAAATCCACCTACAAAGGATAAAGATGTCAAGCTAAAGAAGACAACCAAAATAATGTGTGCCAACTGCCCACTCTACCGCCTGGGGTTTCTAAATTAATAGGCTAGACTCAAGGATATTATATTTGCATGTTAAGGCCAAATAATACTTTAAACTACAGAATTTTTTAAAGAACAAGGTGACCTTTCCAAGAAAAAAAAAAAACAAGTAATTAAAAGCCTAAGCTCATGGAGAGTGGCAATTAAACTTATATTAGGAGTGGTGACTCTAAAGTAACATGACCAATTTATTATCAAGCATATGAGGACCTTGTATATACAAATGGTGTCACTTAGCAAACAGTCACTTTAGTTAACTACTTAATGTTCCAATGATGCCACCTGAACCCAAAGTGCTTTGGGGACAACCCTTAATTGGTACAGATTCCAAAACATCAGTCTCCCATGATTTTTACTGCTTATTTTACTTTTACCAACAACATGGTAATGGTATACCTGCTACTTATAAGTACCAGATATTTGAGAAAGTACAACATTAACATCGTGCTATACAGTTCAGGCCAATTTCTTTGAATTCTGACCTAATCAGCCCAAAGGATTTCATAGATTGGCAGATTTCATAAACTGGGTAAAATGGCTTCTGATAAGGAAATGACACTCGGTGACGGCTGAACTGAATGAATCTTCAAGGTAAAGACAGGGAGGGATCTCTACATATACCTGATTTCTGACACCATCATTTCTGATCATAGATTTCTAAGGGCAGCACTCCTTTTCAAAATGTGGTAACAGGAAGAGAGAAATTCTAAGAGTGTTGAAACACAATCTTATCTACAAAAAAAAGAAGAAGAAGTGCTAACCTTACCAAATTCTCTCAATGTAGTTTCTTAACAATCAGAGGAAAATTTAGAAGATAACCACATCTCTTCCCAATCTAGCTATGGTTTGCTCCAACCCAGTAAGAAACTTTCTCTTCTAAAGGATCAAAAATCTCCCACAAAGGGTGAGGGGGATCACAAAGGCCCCAGAGTAGACTCAGAGACATAAAGCAGTATTCTCTGAAGATCTTCAAAATATACCAAGTTGACCAAAGTTTGACAGACACAGTGTAATTATAGGCAATGGTGCTTCTTATGAGTTAGCCAAACAAGTCTGCTCTAAGGAAGTCCTTGTTACTCAAGACAGCCAACTCCACCCTGTAGACATTATTTAGTCTAACTGCCAACACCACCCTGTAGAGAACCTTTCCATAAACTGCCTGCAACCAAGTGAACCATTTGACCAACACCATTCCTAAGTTACAGAAGAAAACAATCTTGAGCCAGGAATATTCACACAACACCCATGCACCCATGGATGGAGGGCAAAAACCCAGGAATCATGGGTCAATCACATTCCTTCTACTCATGAGTGTAAATGAGACAAGAAAACCATTTCCCAAATCAGCCTCACATAAGCCTAGGCTCATTGGCAGAAACAGTTTTCCATCATATTGATATTTGTACATTACAGTCCCTCCTTAGGAGCTGTCATAATTCTTCTTCTGAGCAGCCAAATTCCACAGGTTAACTTGCATCAGTTTATAGTGCTGTCAGGAGGCACCTACCTTCAGAACCACAGAGAAACATTCCGTGTGGATCTAAATCAAAGTGATGTGCTGAGAGGTACCGAAAAGGATGGTGGTTGTTGAACCCCAGGTGCATTTAAGAACAGAAAAATCCTCTCGCAAAATCACTTCAGGAAAGTTACAATAGAAAGAAACTAAAGGGAGGTATAAAATGGTTCTAACTCTGATAAGGTAGGATTCAGTATGACAGGCCAGTTTATTTTAAGTAATTTTCAACCTTTACTTAGGATCATCAAGATCTGGCTCACAGATCTCCCTCCTTTGTCAACATGGATTTCATGTCACAGATACAGCTTTCCTGATTAAATGACTCCATTTTCACAACAACCATAGCAATTCTCTGCACATAAAAAAGAAAACCACAGACCTGCTAGTGCTTCCAGGTATATAACTAAAATGACCAGGTGAGACTCAATTTTACTTCTGTGGGATTTTTTTTTTTTTCCAACTCTTTTGAGTGTCAAGGTTACAATTCTCAACAACCCTTACATGGGCCCTTAAAAGCTAAAGAATTTCTGCAGCAATTATCTTTGGATGAGAAAGCCATCAGTTTCTTATTATGCTTCTCAAATGACAGTTTCTAGCCATATTGTTTAGCACATGAGTGTTAAAGTCCCTTACGAAAGACTCCTGTAGTTTATATTCAAGCTCTCAGGTTCATGACTCAGCAGCTTCCTTTATAGTGGGACAGACAGACTAAAAGAGAATGTGTCTTACAAAACAAAGTAGCTGTTCCCTTTCTCATGCTATGCTTATGGTTCTGGTGAAGCATTTAAAAAGTTCTACCTGATTTTTAATTCTGCTATGGCTTAAAAAGCTATGAACAGTACTTTAGGGAAAGTTTAGCTTCCTCTTTTCAAAAAACCTATTTGCTTTAGTCTCTGAAAGCAAAAGTAACATGCTGCACTTATATTTTCCAATCAAATTGCATAGTTGAGGCAAATTCATTTGTGCTTTGTAGCAGAACTCACAGTAGTTGTTCATATCTAAAAACCTTGATTTGTAAATGCAAAGTCACGGTCAAGCTCACCCTTGTTCGGAGTGTATGCTAATGATATGCACTGCCATTACACTTCCCAAGATTTTGTTAACCACGGACCCAGCCTTCTACCATATCAGAGCATGAGCGTCAAATTAACATCTCAGAAATGGTAACAAATCTATCTAAACTCCTCCTTGGAGAGAAGGAGGAAAGGCTCATTCTTGTTGAGGTATCCAGCCCTCAATCAACAGTGGCTGTGTATAGTGAGTTTTGTTGGTTTGAAGATTGTGTCTTTAGAGGTTAAAAAAAGAAAGAAAAGAAGGCACGGGTGTTTCTCAAGTCGCCATATTCAACTCAACCAACAAAACCAAAGTCTTTCATTTTCAAGCTTCAGGAGGGAGGCTACATGGGCGCAGGGCTTTCTTCCAGCCCCAGGTCTGGGGAGGAACTTATTGCTTCTGGGAATGGCCCTGGATAGGTCTGCGCTGTGTACTGGATCCCTTTTTGCAGAGCAGTCTCTTCATGGAATTCTCCCTGGGTGCTGAAAGCGGGACAAGATCGAGTCCGGGCAGCCTTCCTGGCGCTGTCGGGGTGGCCCACCGTCTCGCTCACAGTGCTCAGAGGGAACTCTCTCCACCTCTGCCTCTGAAGTTCTTCCTCCTTGTATTTAATGGAGTACCAGGCCAGAAAAATAAATATAAAGCCAACAAATTTGAGGCCGGCTGCTAAACCAAAATAGACGAAACGAAATGACGTGACATTGTACTCCCAGCAAGAGCCTTGCACTCCACACTCCTGTTGCCAAAGCATGCAGGTGGTGTCAATAACTGCTCCAAAGTAAATTGGAGTCGGAATGTATGCTAGAGCGGCAGGGGAAAGAAAAAGAAAAAGCGTTAGCACATCTTATAAGAGGAAACAGACTTGTAAATTAACAGGATACCTGTTTACTCTAACATCAGTTGAGAGGAGTGGTTTTTCTGTGTTACCTGTTTTTTTGTAAATATACATCACATCTTGTCATAATATTCTTATTATAGACATGTTCACTACTACTTTAAATCTTTCACTTCATGGCTCAGTCAGAATGTGCTTTGGCTTTTAGACATTTTATGATGTTTATTTTAAAGTATTACTTATTAGACATATTATGATATAACATGTCTAAAAAGCAAGAACACATTTTTATGTCTGCTCAATATTAGATAACAACCTAACTTAGGAAAGAATTTTAAAAAGAATAGATGCATGTATATTCATAACTGAATCACTTTGCTATATACCTGAAACTAACACAACTTTGTTAATCAACTATACTCCAATACAAAATAAAAAGCTAAAAAAAAAAAAAGAATTTTACAAAAGATTTTTTTTTAAGATTTTATTAAGTTAAAACAAGAGCAGTAATACATTTTTAGACATAAAAATTTCCATCGATACAAGTGTAATTAGGGAGGGGAGTTCCCTGCACGTCCAGTGGTTAGGACTCTGTGCATTCACTGTCATGGCCCTGGGTTCAGTTCCTGGCCCAGGAACTAAGATCTTGAAAGCCACGTGGCATGGCACCTTCCCCTCAAAAAAGTTAGATTAAAATCTGAAATTTAAAAAAAAAAATAAGCCACTCAATTCAAGGTACTAGAAGCCTATGATGCCCACTGACAAGTCCTCACTCTTGGTCTGGGGCATCAACCACAACATTAGACAAAAAAGGAATACCACAGAGGATTCCTGTTGCCAAGGGTCAGATGATTTTTAAATGTTTAAAATGTTTCACCCTTCAAAATTTAAATAAGCAATTTGAATTAAAAAAAATTTTTTTTTTTGTCCTGTGGATGATGATACTGATTACTGAGGAAAATAACAGCTGAAGAAAATGACAGACTGCCCCTTAAGAAAGCAAACAATATGCTTGACAATGAGGAAGTCACATAAAAACATACTGAAGTCAGTCAAGGTAACGGAGCACTTCACGCACTGCTCCCCATCACTGTCCCAAGACATCACGGGTGATGCAATGTTTGTAGAAGTCAGAAGGATGTTCTTCAAGTCCAAATAAACTCTGTGACTTACCACATTGACACAGCACTAACAAGCTTCTCTGTTAACAAGAAATCTTGTTGCTATTTAGTCGCTGTCATGTTTGACTCTTTGCAACCCCATGGACTGCAGCCCACCAGGCTTCTCTGTCCATGGAATTTTCCAGGCAACAATACTGGAGTGGGTTGCCATTTCCTCCTCCAGGGGATCTTCCCGACCCAGGGATTGAACCTGTGTTTCCTGCCTTGGCAGGCGGATTCTTTACCACTGAGCCACTAAGTAAAGCTTAGTCCCTATATATCAATTTGGACATCTTTTTATTCATTTAGAACTTTTTATTTCTTTTCCTCAGAAAATCTGATCAGCATACTCTTTACCCAGTCCAGTACAATTACTAGAAAGAAGTAAGGAACTGAAATTTTTCGACACACATACACACAAAGTAAGCACTAATTCCCATCATTTTCATGTTACAAAGTCACAAAAGGGACAGAAACACCTGGACTGTAAGCCCACAACAGTTTCTTGGTTCAAGATTTCTTACTGTACAAAACTCTGGGGAATTTAGTCCAAGTGCATACTCAGAGTGAAAGAGAAACCGATCAAAAGTCAGTTTTGTTTTGTTTTATCAGCGACAGAGTTGGTCCGCTTTTGGTTCAAATCAGAAAATGAGGAAGTTGCGCCTGCCCACTAACATGTGAACTCCTAGCTAGTATGAATGGTAACAAATGATCTGAGTTGACATTTTTAAAGGACAGTGAAAATTTGGCATCTGCAAAGAGGAACTAAAAGGTACTGTGGGAAATTTAGGAACATACCAAGTGTTCTCAATAAAACAAACTGCATTCCCAGGGCAAAAGGCCTCTCTTCATCTTTTACAGACCTACAAAGAAGGGAAAGAAATATTTTAGAATAAGGGCCTCAAGAAAATGAATGTCAAGTCAAACCTGCTTAGCTGCAGGGCCAGGGACCACATAGATAATGGGCCAAAATGTTGAATTTGCTAGAAGTTATTAACAATAGTTGAACAAGGTCGCTTATCACTAAATCACTGAATAAAGGTCTCCCCAGTGAAGACTCCAAAGAACTCTGATTAACTCCACTTTTTGTGTAAATAACAGGTGGAAGGACAAAGGTTCAGGGCTGAAAGTACAGAAGCAGCTCTGAGTTTGCAAAATCAACTCTTAAAAAAAAAAATTGGTAATCCTAACTATTGCCTTCTTTTTCTGTTTGCCTGTACTTTCCAGAATGGCATGCTGAAATTTACTTCTACAATTTCTCAAGGAAAAACATAGAGAGAAAAGTTTTTTTCCTAACAGTCCCAAAATGTATCAGAAATAAATCAAAAGTTAGAAACAGAATGAATCCTTCCCCATCACCTCACTTTTTCTTCTTTTCCTAAACTTAAGTTTCAAGTAATTCCCACATGGCAGGATGATTAGAGTCTATTGATTTTGTATTAGCAAAGATTAAATGGCTCCTTTTCTGAAGTCTTGGGTTAGACGACAACTGATGATCTGCCGTGTTTAAACATTATTAAACAGGCACCTCTTTTCTGGTTATTTAACATCTCTTGTAGAATTAAAGTTCAAAGTAATAGGTTAGTAATGATTCCCATTTTTTTCATGATGAAGTACTTTCTAGTACTTTCTAGTCCATACACATAGGGTTCTCAGTATGCAATGTGAAATTCTCGAGGACCAGTGTGCTTGCCATCTTTCCCCCTAGTTTCTTTATTTTCTCACAGCAATTTCCCCAGTGTGGTAAACACTGTTGTTACTCTGTAAGTATCTGCTGACTGAGGATCTGAGGATTGGTCCCAAACCAATGGGACCAGTGGGACTCCTGGGTGCCATTTGTTATCTTGCTGTCAAGGAACCCATCAGCTGAGCAACATCCAACTCAGCATCCCATAAAAGGGAAGCCAGAATATGCAGATCTAGCAGGCAAAAAGCCCAACCTCCCTGCTAAGAAAGACGTCTCAGCAGATGCATCCCACCCGAAGCCAGCATCCTGGGTTACCAAGAAGCCCAGGGAGGGCACAAAAGGGAGACTGAAGACTGACACCCCTCCTTCCTCCATCACCCTGCATCCCAGTCCCCCTAAAGCTGCTGTGGTCATGCTTTCACACCGCCCACTCCCTTCCTTGGTCTATGGCCATCTTTACTGCAAATACTAACACTCTGATTTAAATGTGCTGGTGTCAACATTTTAAATAGAGCCTCCATTAAGGTAATCTCCATGTTCTCTCTTAGAAGCAAAAAAAAAAAAAAACCACACACACAAATGGGATATATAATACAGCAAAAAAAGCACAGCATGAACAACTTAAAATTACATTTCCTAGTCTGCCCTTTCCTTGATTCAATGCCAAAATGTTATATGATAGTGAAATTAATGAGATAAGCATTTGGAATTGCAAGCTCAGCAACAATGGTCACTGATCCTGGAGGTATTAACTACCTACAAGGTCAGAGATAATATTCTTAGCCGTAAGTACGATTTAGTGACTTCACCAAATGACTTGTCACCTCCTCTCGGGCCAGGCTTCTTGTAGCTAGTACAGTCATAGCTTTCAGCTCCTGAGCTTGAACCTTTCAGTAGAGACTTCAGGAACCAAAGGCATCCAAAAAGAGTTTCACTGAACTATGGGGATAAAATTCATCTAAATAAAACAAGTTCTGGAGTATGAAAATGTTGCTGGTGTTTAGTTGCTAAGTCATGACCGACTCTTTTGCGACCCCATGCACTGCAGGCTACGCCAGGCTCCTCGGTCCATGGCATTTCTCAGGCAAGAGTACCAGAGTGGGTGGCCATTTCCTTCTCCAGGGGATCTTCCCGACCCAGGGATCGAATCCATCTCCTGCACTGGCAGACAGATTCTTTACCACTGAACCATCTGGGATGCCCAGTGAAATGTTACCATCTTCCTTTCCCTTCCTAACACGGGAAAACTCCCTTCTCTGAAGATCACCAGGTAAATAAATGTCTGTGCACTCTCCTGCACAATCTCATTTTGCTCTCGTCACCACTTTACCACATCAGTCCCCAGTCTGGAATAAAATATCTGGCAATTCTGAGTGTATAAAGCAACCTAGACGTTGAACACCGTCCTCACCTGAGTGTTACTATGATGGCTGACGGTTGGGCGCAGGCTGTGATGAAGGTCACTATGAACAGGAACACTAAGAATGGGATGAGGGTGTTACAGGACCGTTTACACTTCCCAGACACAGCGTAGCCGTTCTCATTGAGGTACGTCTTGACGATAACCACGCGGAGCTGGCCGCGCTGTCCCACTGTGGGTGGCGTGATTACCTGGCGGCTCTGGACACAGGTGCATTCTGTGTAGTTCCGTGTCTAAGTGATAACAAAGATCAGTTGGATGCCGATCAACAGCAAAATTCAGCATAAGAACCGTCAGAGTTAAAAAGCTCTAAAATCATTCTAGCATTTAAAAATATGCCGAATAGTTCATTGAAAGCATCTTCTAGGAGTTCCCTGGTGGCCTAGTGGTTCAGATTCCAGGCTTTCACTGTTGCGGCCAGGGTTCAATCCCTGATCAGGGAATTGAGGTCCCACAAGTTGTGCAGCACAGCCCAAAAAAAAGAAAAAAGAGAAGAAAATATCTTTCTCATTTTAACAATAAGGATTCAAAAAGTGCATCTAACAACATCAAAATCTGCTGCTGAAGGTTGTTTAAACTTTGATCAGAAGCCTTCAATACTCAATTCTATACTACTCATCTTCTATAAGGGCTTCCCAGGTGGCGAGGTGGTAAGGAATCCACCTGCAAATGCAGGAGACTCAGGTTCAATCCCTGGGTTGGGAAGATCCCCTGGAGTAGGAAATGGCAACCCACTCTGGTATTCTTGCCTGGAGAATCCCAGGGACAGAGGAGCCTGGTGGGCTACAGTCCATGGAGTCACAATGAGTCACACAACATGTGCACGAGCACAACCATGTTCCATATCCTCATGTTGGGTCATAATCAGATGCTGCTTCAACGGATGTTCATTCTTAGGCTCTCCAAACAGTGAAGCCCCTCAAAAACAGGAACTAAGCCTTATTTTTATTTGTGCTCTCCAGAGTGCTTAGCAAAACCCTGAAACAGTGTAGGATCAAATGTATATATCTGTTAAATAAATGCAGAGAATTCACAATGCAACCGTAACGACTTCAGTAACAACACTAGTGAATGTATCACTGGCTATTTCATTTGAAACTAGCTAATACAAGGGACTCAAAAGATGTCTCAAACAAAACAGCCAATTGACTTTTCTGCCTATTATGCTGCTTTTACTGAACGGACATCAGCTGAGCTCACTGTCATTGTGACCTCTCAGCCACCCAGAGAAGCAGGAGGCACAAATACAAAGATGGGGAGCTGCGTGGCCGCCTGTGCTCCAAGGACTGTGGGCCTCTTTGTATGAATGAGGACCACGGACCAGAGGACTCAGTGGCTAAGTCCTTCCCTGGGGGCGAGTGACTCCTCTGGTCTATGGCCCTCATTTGAAGAGCAGGTCTCATTGTCCCTTTCAATTCAGTCACACCCTGCAGCTCACCAGTTATATAATGAGGAGCCAGCAAGAGGAATCTCAGTTCATCACCATAGTTTAAAACTCAGAGATCAAATATGACATCCCCAAGACACGCAGTCAACGGTATCATCCCATATCACCTACACAGAACAAACAAAGGCATCTTAACCTTTCAGTGAAAGCAGCTGCCTACAGTCTGTTATTATGCAAAAAATGGAACCAGGCTCAATAAAGAACGGCGTAGAATATGAAAACCTTCTCCCACAGTATCACTGCCTATTTATAATTCACAGGAAAGTGAATTCTCAAAATAGCCTATTCTTGAACTGACAGAAATAACTTTACTCTGAATGTTTAAAAAAAAAATCTGAATTGATAGTCTATGAAAAATGGCCACTGCCCATGTTCACAGGCTCTGAGCAGGGGAGGTGCTCTCCTGTTCTCTTCTAGCAGCACAGTGTGGTCATCTCGACCTTCACGTCCATCATCACAGGGGCCCTGTTGGGGCAGCAAAGGAGACATCCAGCACTCAACCTTCTCAAGTTTCACTGGGATGGCACAGGATGTCACTAGCGGGGAATGACGTGGAACCAGATCACTATGCTCAAAAACCCCAATTATCCCTGAAAATTAAATAATAGTAATTATTGCATAATTTCCTTTCCTCTGGGTTTTTGACAGAAGCACGTGTGCATTCATGCTCAGTTGCTTCAGTTGTGTCCAACTCTTTTCGACCCCATGGACTGTGGCCCGCCAGGCTCCTCTGTCCATGGGATTCTCCCGGCAAGAATACTGAGTGGGTTGCCGTGCCCTCCTCCAAGGGATCTTCCCAACCCAGGGATCAAACCTGTGCTTCCTGTGCCTCCTGCATTGCAGGAGAATTCTTTACCCACTGAGCCACCTGGAAAGCCCTTGACAGAAAATATCCTGTATCTTATTTGAAGTTTTTGGAAAAGGGAGACTGAAACCTTCTGTTTGCATACAAAATCTAACAACACTACAGGAGCTTGTGAAATATACTCACCCCGGTGCTCACATTCCCACTATTAACACAGCCAGCCAGACAAGGGTTAAAGTATGTAATTCCATCCGATCCACAGACTGGCTCATATTCATGTGTTTTACAACCACAATTAACATTGCAGCTTCCTGTCAGATTCCTATGCGGCATGGTCAGAGAGGGTCTAAGAGAGAGAAGCAGATCATGAGCCATTAATGTTTGCCAAAATAAAATTCACAGGACAGTTCTTGATGTTAAGTAAGGTGTCCATTTTACAGAATACATTCCCATGAAATCAAAGCCATGGTACTATGAAGTAGCACCATAGATAATTATTTTTATGACTTTAAAACAGAACAGAAAGAAAACATTTTTCAATTTTCCCATACTATAGATTTAGTACATTTGTATCATATTATTTACCGTGCTTCAATTCCACCCTCCATCTTGGTAATCTGAGCTCAGAAGTTCTAACCTTCATAGAACTAAACTGCTCACTCACTGCAGACACTTGGCTCTATATCGTAACAAATTGAGGCCTAGATTTCTTTTACAGTTAAACTGTAAAATGGAAGAAATATTTTTTGTGCCAAATTAATAATATCTTGATGAGGACATTAATATGGAATCCATCAATCAGAGCTGTCAACACAAGTTCCTTTGACCAAAAGCCTTTGCTCTGGAATAAATTATCAAGGAAAGACAAGGGACTCTAGAATATCAAAAGAAGGTGGTTTTTTGAAGACCATCAGGAATCAGAGCACTGGTTTGTTTCAGACAACCAGAGAAGAACAATTAAACTCTCCTTCCCTCAAGAATGCCCAGATGTGGGACTTCCCTAGTGGTCCACTGGTTAAGAATCCACCTGCCAGTGCATGGGACATGGGTTTGATCCCTGGTCTGAGAAGATTCCACAAGCCGAGGGGCAACAAAGCCTTGTGCGCCACAACTACTGAATCTATGTGCCCGAGAGCCTATGCTCCTCAACAAGAGAAGCCACAATGAGAAACCCGTACACTGCCACTAGGGAGTAGCCCCCTGCCCCTGAAACTAGAGAGCCCACACACAGCAATGAAGACCCAGCCCTGCCAAAAGTGTTAAGAAAAGAATGAGCAGATGTGGACTCACAGGCAGACACAATAGGTTCTATTTTCTCATGACACCATGATTTCTGATTCAAAGAAATGATACAATGTGAAAAACTCAAATAAAATCAGTTCAGACAATATAAAAGAGCAAAAAAGTCAAAAAGGAAGAGACACTACTTTGTCAACAAAGGTCTGTCTAGTCAAAGCTATGGTTTTTCCAGTGGTCATGTGTGGATGTGAGAGTTGGACTATAAGGAAAGCTGAGCGCCAAAGAATTGATGCTTCTGAACTGTGGTGTTGGAGAAGACTCTTGAGAGTCCCTTGGACTGCAAGGAGATCCAACCAGTCCATCCTAAAGGAGATCAGTCCTGGGTGTTCATTGGAAGGACCGATGCTGAAGCTGAAACTCCAATACCTCGGCCACTTCATGCGAAGAGCTGACTCATTAGAAAAGACCCTAATGCTGGGAAAGATTGAGGCCAGGAGGAGAAGGGGACGACAGAGGATGAGATGGTTGGATGGCATCACCGACTCAATGGACATGAGTTTGGGTGGACTCCGGGAGTTCATGATGGACAGGGAGGCCTGGCGTGCTACAGTCCACAGGGTTGCAAAGAGTCAGACACGACTGAGTGACTGAACTGAACTGAAAAATTCAAGTAAGGATATATAGGGCCGGAGAGAGAAGCGTAAGGAGATGGCTATGGAAAGGCAGAGGCAGGCAGGTACCCAGAGGAAACCCGTGGAAGGATGAGCAGGCTCTGAGTTCTCACATCCAAAGACCTCCTTCCTTTGCCACCATTTTTAGGTGTCACAAATGGCAACCCACTCCAGTACTTTGCCTGGAAAATTCCATGGATGCAGGAGCCTGGTAGGCTACAGTCCATGGGGTCGCAAAGAGTCGGACACAAATGAGCAACTTTGCTTTCACTTCGATGAAATACTGTTCCTAAAGCCACATGGGCTGGAAATGGCAGATTTCATTCACCTGTCCAACTACTCATCATCCATTCATTCAACAGATATTTAGGAGTGTCTGTCATATGCTAGGATTTACCTTTAATGACTATGTTCAGAAACTGTTCATCCAGAAGTCTCCTGTTGTTTGTTCAAAGGCTCTTCTCCTGTATCCTCCCTCACACTTTGATAACTGAGTCATCAAATTTGAACAAAAGGAACAAACTCATAGCAATATTTAAACTTTATCAGGAAAGCCTTCCAAAGAGGGAAAAGTAAAACAAACTCTGGTCATTCCCATCCCTCCAGTGAAGTAATTTTTATCACAAGACTCTTAATTATTGGGCTTACCAGGTGGCGCTAGTGGTAAAGAACACGCCTGCCTGTGCAGGAGACATAAAAGACACAGGCTTGATCTGTGAGTCACACAGATCCCCTGGAGGAGGAAGTGGCAAGCCACGCCGGTATTCTTAACTGGAGAGTCCCATGGACAGAGGAGCCTAGTGGGCTACAGTCCATAGGGTTGCAAAAAGTTGGACACAACTGAAGTGACACAAGTGAAGTGACTCATAATTATTATGTTCACAATACCATAACGCTTGGGTATTTTCAATCATACCATTTGATAGTTTGAATATACCTTCTCTAAGCCAGCAGTTCTCCACAGGGGCAATTTTGGCAGCATCAGGAGACATTTTTGTTCCTCACAACTAAAGGGACATTACTGACATCTAGTGGGTAGGGGCCAGGATTGCTTCTAAACGTCCAATAGGGGCCTTCCCTCGTGGTCCAGTGGTTAAGACTTCAGCTTTCAGTGCAAGGGTGGTGGGTTCGATCCCTGGTCGGGGAACTAAGGTCCCACATGCCTCAGGGTCAACAAAACCAAAGCATAAAACAGAAGCAATATTGTAACAAATTCAACAAAGACTTTAAAAATGGCCCACATCAAAGAAATCTTAAATATGTAAATATATTTACATAAATAAATATATAGATATATATAAAGAGCCCAACAATACCCAGAACAGCCCTTGCCCCACAAGAAAGAATAAACTAACCCAAATCTCAGTAGTTGATACTGATCTGAGAAACTCTGTTCTAGACCTATTTCCACATTTCACGGATGATGAAATGGATGTCCAAGGAGGCCAAATGATTCATTATGAGGCTGATTAGTGCTATTTTAACTAGCATCACACAAAACATATTCTTTGTGCATTATTCTTCACTAGTTCTTCAAGAACCAAATTGCAAGCCATGATCAAATAAAAGGAATTTATATGCCTGCATGCTTAGTCACTAAAAATGACAGGCTTCAAATCCATACAATAGGGTTATTACTATGCCTATTTAGAAGTCACAAGGAATTTCTTATTAACAGCATGCTTTGTATTCATTTATGACAGCCAGATTCCAAATATCCCTCCTTTGTGGGTATGTTCACTCAAGAGAAAGGAATCTAAAGAGAATGTCAACAGACACTCACAACACATGTGATGACAGGAAGGCCAAAGATTTCCTGAGTTCTGGAAACAAAGGCACAGTCCCAGGTCACCCTTGGGTACACCTGCTCTTCTCCTGAGATCATGATGTCTGATACAAAGAAATGATGGAGTATCAAAAGTTCTAACAAAATCAAAAGAAACAACAAATATAAAAGCAGTGGGAAAGGCCACAGAGGCACAAAAAAAGAAAGATGCTGACACAGTTAATCCTTTACACTGCATTGATAAAAAAAAAATATTTTTAAGAATAATACTGTCAGGCTTCCCTGGTAACTCAGAGGGTAAAGAATCTGCCTGCAATGGGGGAGACCTGGGTTTAATCCCTGGGTCAGGAAGATCCCCTGGAAAAGGGAATGGGAACCCACTCCAGTGTTCTTGCCTGGAGAATTCCATGGACAGAGGAACCTGGAAGGCTACAAATGGGTAGCAAAGAGTTGGACATGACTGAGCGACTAACATTTCCACTTTCTTTCTGCCAATACAGGAGACATGAGGTTGATTCCTGATCTGGGAAGATCCCACATGCCGTGGAGCAACTAAATCCATGCACCACAACAATTGAGCCTGGGCTCTAATGCCCGGGAGACGCAACCACTGAGCCCCTACCAGCAATTATTGAAGCCCATGCTCCTCAACAAGAGAAGCTACAGCAATGAGAAGCCCACACACCACAACTAGAGAGCAGCCCCTTCTCAGTACAACTAGAGAAAGCTCGTGCATAGCAATGAAGACCCAGGACAGTCATAAATAGATTAATTACTTTCAAAAAGAGAGAATAATAATGTCTTATGTTACTATAACTTACGCTCCAGACGACAGACTGGATTATAACAATAGTGCAAGTGTTGAAATCTTAGTCACACCAAGCAACCTCTTATTAGCTGAGCTGAGCCTGTCCTGGGACAACACAATGCACTAGCACTGTAGTATCCACACTCACCCTTGAGCAAAGGGACAGTACCACCTTTCCAGTAAACAAAAACATCTCCAACAAGTCAGCCTTGCAAGCAAGAGGCTCATGTTAATTCAAGGTCCATGTAAGTGTTCTTTCCATGCCAGGAACAAGGACTCACTAACAAATGCCTTATAACTGCATGGTCCAAGCTGGAAACCTGAGTCACACATTACACGTCACTATAAAAATCATGGAATAATAGAAATAGAGAGATGGGAGGAGTTTCTGAGGTTAACTAAGATAATGACTAATTTCAAAGCCTAGGAAACTATAAGAGGTATAATCACATGCCCTCCCATCATTGAAGCTGTCAGAAAACTAGTCACAGGGAGACCAAAATGAACAAAAAACAGGAAAGAAGAGCAAGCTTGCTGCCTAATCTTCATTTAATCAACTGCTTAAGGATCGATGTTTATTTACAGTAATATACAACAATAAATGTCTTCCCAGGTGGCTCAGAGGTAAAGAATCCGCCTGCCAGTGCAGGAGATACCAGAGACATGGGTTCAATCCCTGGGTCAGGAAGATCCCCTGGAGAAGGAAATGGAAACCCTCTCCAGTATTCTTGCCTGAAAAATTCCATGGACAGAGGAGCCTGGCAGGTTACAGTCCATGAGGTCGCAAAGAGTCGTACACGACTGAGCGACTGAGCACACACATACAACAATAAAACAGTGAT